TCCTCAGAACTGTATCTCTTCCAACACTTCTTAACAATCCTCAGAACTGTACCTCTTCCAACACTTCTTAACAATCCTCAGAACTGTGGCTCTACCAACAATTCTTAACAATCCTCAGAACTGTGACTCTACCAACAATTCTTAACAATCCTCAGAACTGTGACTCTACCAATAATTCCAAAAATCTTCAGAATTGTGTCTTTCTATCAACACTTCTTAACAGTCCCTTAAACTGTTCCTCTTCCAACACTTCTTAACAATCCCCAGAACTGTGACTCTACCAACAATTCCAAAAATATTCAGAATTGTGTTTTTCTATCAACACTTCTTAACAATCCTCAGAACTGTGACGCTAGCAACACTTCTTAACAATCCCCAAAACTGTGTGTCTACCAACACTTCTCAACAATGTTCAGAACTTTAAAATACAGAAAACAGCTAAAATGGGATAGTAAAATATATCATTTAAAACAACGTACCTGAAGATGTCGACTTAACAGTGGCGAAACATTGTTTTCAAATGATATATATTTTTCTATCCCCTTTTAGCTGTTTTCTGTATTTTAAAATTCTGTACCAGTCACTCGAATATTGTTCAATATTTTAAGTTATCATTGACATAATAATTTCTCATGGAAAACTGATTTTCAACAATAACAACTTAATGTCACGGTATAACTAGTTATTCCATTATTTTGAGGGATGAATCACTAAAGGAACAGTTATAATGTCATAGTATTACTGGTTCTTCGCACTTTGACTGGTACTAGCTACAAGGAAGGGGAGAATTTTGAACAATGTTGCACTGATTGCATTGAGGAAAGGTCCTACTTCTGTGAGTGAGGTAATGTAAAGTACCACATCTCACGTACAACGATATTTGAGATAAATCAGAACCTGCCTCGACCAATAAAACCCTGACCCCAATCTATTTGAACCCGATATCAACACGAAGGATGAGCCACAAATCAATAATAAATCGGTAAGATTCACCCAGATTGTTGTTATTGTAATTTAACGATGTTTTTATGTCGTAGGCCTATTCGTTTATATTAGTCGTTACTGGTAACATGGTTACGAAGGTATAAGCTCATTGTGTAGATGATAATAATAATAGTTATATGTAAAAATTTAACTTAATCGAGGACTGGATAACGTTAAATAAACTTATCACTAAAAAGATTGTTACATGTAAAACTTAACTTAATTGAGGATTGGATCACGTTAAATAAACTTATCACTAAAAAGATTGTTACATGTAAAACTTAACTTAATTGATGATTGGAGCACGTTAAATAAACTTATCACTAAAAAGATTGTTGCATGTAAAAACTTAACTTAATTGAGGATTGGATAACGTTAAATAAACTTATCACTGAATATCAGATCGCTAAAAAGATTGTTAATTCACGTGTTTAGAAATTACAATATAAACAACGCATCGGTCTAACGTAAGCATAATATTTGTATAGAATGCTGGCGAGATTTAAAACGTTGCCATGCACAGTTGCTCTCTTGCAATGCAGTATTCCTCGAATACTTTTACAAATTCTTTGATAATATATTTTTTACTCTCACTGTTCTTTCTTTTTCTTTTGCAACTAGAGTCGGCAGTGACTTATCTACGAGTAACTGAAATATTTCGCCGTAAGATACGTGTTTGTTTAGGCCTAAATGAATCGCGTGTTTTCACTTTGCTGCAAAAACTGTCATCAGCAAAGTTTTGCTGCGACGTTTCGTAACTGACTTGACAACTGGGCAACATTCATGCGATTTGTTGACCGCTTCCAAGGTAATAATTCAAATATTTCATACCACATGATGCAGACTCGGCCAGTCACGGCGAGGAATTTGGTCCACCCTACAATGATTATCATTTCCTACCAACTACATATAAAGTGCCTAATATTCAATTAGCATGTATTGAGAACAGGTTTCATAGTCGTTTTGAGAGATCTTTATGCATATCACTTTCCTACGTCTTAACAAGTACTTATTCTATTTAAATAATACATTATAAGCTGGATCATTACTATCTTATTTTCATACTCTTGAGGAGATGAAGGAGAGTTATATAGTCGTTACTGAACTTATCACGTTTGTGTTAGTAGGAATAAACGTATGGTAATGAAGAAAAGTTTTCTTGACTGTATTAGAAACTATCACATTGACACTTCAGTTTACTTATGGTAATAAAGAAACGCTTATTTACCGCTTTTTGACATCATCCATTCGTATAAAGTGATTGGATTGTGTTTTATAAAGAGAATCATGGTCAAGCCTTCTTGATCTTTTGTTGAGAAGTTTATTCTGAAAGACAGAGAAATTGGTATTTTTCGCTGTAAACCAGTTTTTACTAATTAATGATAACTTTACTTTTACTCAAGTGACTCTAAACAGCTTAAATGTAAAACAAAGAACATTTACACTAATCATTAACTGATGTCTCTTATGCCGACTGGCTACTTTTTAAGGGCCCACATCTTAATTGTAGCTTAAAATATAATTGCAAGAGATGTTTCAAGTGACTCCTTGAAAACAGGAATTTGTTCAAGTTATTGTTAGTTTCCAAGACAATGGATAGGAGCAAGAGCTCTTCAAAGGGGTATGATAGTAGTTACCCATCTAGTATATTTGTTGTTAACAAAATAATTTCCGCATAGTCATTTTTTATATACGAATGTCATTTAACACACGGTCATTTTTTATATGAAGGATATAAAATAGTTTCGTGTAACTTGAGTATGACCTTAAAGTAAGTTATAAAGTATAGTTTTACGTAACGAGAGTTTGACCTTAAAGTAAATTATAAAGTATAGTTTTACGTAACGAGAGTTTGACCTTAAAGTAAGTTATAACGTATAGCTTTACATAACGAGAGTTTGACCTTAAAGTAAATTATAAAGTAAAGCTTTACGTAACGAGAGTTTGGCCTTAAAGTAAGTTATAAAGTAAAGCTTTACGTAACGAGAGTTTGGCCTTAAAGTAAGTTATAAAGTATAGTTTTACGTAACGAGAGTTTGACCTTAAAGTAAATTATAAAGTATAGTTTTACGTAACGAGAGTTTGACCTTAAAGTAAGTTATAAAGTATAGTTTTACGTAACGAGAGTTTGACCTTAAACTAAGTTATAAAGTAAAGCTTTACGTAACGAGAGTTTGACCTTAAACTAAGTTATAAAGTAAAGCTTTACGCAACGAAAGTTTGACCTTAAAGTAAGTTATAAAGTAAAGCTTTACGTAACGAGAGTTTGGCCTTAAAGTAAGTTATAAAGTTTAGTTTTTATTTAACGAGAGTTTAACCTTAAAGTAAGTTATAAAGTATAGCTTTGCATAACGAGGGTTTGATTTTAATGTAAGTTGTTGAAGTATTTTTGTGATATTTCAAAGCTAGTGATGAAGGTGGGTTTGTGGAAAAAAAACGTAGCTCGTAACTCTAATAAAAGAAAGTTGCTATTAAGAATTATGTGAACTCTAAGTTGCCGTCCTACCTGGATTGAAGTTGCAGGTGCCCAACAACACTGGTTTTTGACTTAGATCTTTATCTTTTCAAGACGCGTCGCAACTGTTTTGCATCAGGCAGTGTTATCTGACAACGTGCGAAGGTTGCGCCTGAAGATATAGAGCCGTTGGCAGCAAATTTAACAAGAGCACCACGGACCACTACCCAAGAAATAAATTGTATCGCTACGGAAAATAACCGAAACGAGAAAAGTTCCTCGACATACAGGACAATAACACGTGTGCACGTCTTACGGGAAATACGACAAGAATATTCGCAGTTTTTCTTACAATTCTAGTTTTGAGGAGAACACCCGCTTCTGATTCGTAGATAAAGTAAAGCAAACTACCTTCCACTTAGGGTGGAGGGGAACACCCGCTTCTGATTGGTAGATAAAGTAAAGCAAACTACCTTCCACTTAGGGTGGAGGGGAACACCCGCTTCTGATTGGTAGATAAAGTAAAGCAAACTACCTTCCACTTAGAGTGGAGGAGAACATCCGCTTTTGATTGGAAGATAAAGTAAAGCAAATTATCTTCCACGTAGGGTGGAGGAGAACACCCGCTTCTCATTGGAAGATAAAGTAAACCAAACTACCTTCCACGTAGGGTGGAGGGGAACACCCGCTTCTCATTGGAAGATAAAATAAACCAAACTACCTTCCACGTAGGGTGGAGGAGAACACCCGTTTCTCATTGGAAGATGAAGTAAACCAAACTACCTTCCACGTAGGGTGGAGGGGAACACCCGTTTCTCATTGGTAGATAAAGTAAAGCAAACTACCTTCCACGTAGGGTGGAGGGGAACACCCGTTTCTCATTGGTAGATAAAGTAAAGCAAACTACCTTCCACGTAGAGTGGAGGGGAACACCCACTTCTCACTGGAAGATAAAGTAAACCAAAATACCTTCCACGTAGGGTGGAGGGAAACACCTGCTTCTGACAATAAAATGATTGCCTGACCGACCTACGTTGATCTGACTATTATTTCCTATAGATCATTTTCCAGACGGTTCTGTTATGATTAGTGTCTGGCGAAAAGCTTCAGTAGATATTGTTTTTCAACATCCCAACCAACAATTGGTCCAGTTATCAACGCTATTTTCAAGTTTTGACCAACTAGACTTTCAAGATCTACGTATCTACATGAGCCGATGTTTCCATTGATGAACGTTACATTTTAAGATCTGTGCAATAATTCAACTAACAGATGTTTCCGTATATCAAAGCTATCTACAAGTAACACTGTTCGAGTTTACGTTATTTTCCATGATTAAAAGTAGAAGACTTCCCACAAGTAACACGATTCGAGATCAGATTATTTTCCATGATTAAAAGTAGAAGACTTCCCACAAGTAACACGATTCGAGATCAGATTATTTTCCATGATTAAAAGTAGAAGACTTCCCACAAGTAACACGGTTCGAGATACAAGATAGTTGTTATGTAGGCCTAACTGTAGTGATGTTCTCAGGAGATTCGAACAAGAAGTTGATATATAGACCAAACTGTGCTGATGTTCTCAGTAAGTTCATACAAGATAGTTGTTATGTAGGCTTAACTGTAGTGATGTTCTCAGGAGATTCGAACAAGAAGTTGATATATAGACCAAACTGTGCTGATGTTCTCAGTAAATTAGAACTAGAAATTTGTATGTAGTCTTAATTGAACTAATGTTATCAATAGATTTGAACAAGAAATTAATATGTAAACCTAACCGTACTGATGTTCTCGGTAAATTGATACAAGAAGTGCCTATGTAAGCCTACGTGTGCCGATGTTCTCAGTTAATTCATACTACAAGTGTGTATGTAGGCCTAACTGTATTGAAGTTCTTACAAGATTCACATGAGAACCTCGTAGGTAAACCTAACTTTGCTGATGTGCTTAGTAAGTTGATAGAAGAATTATGCATGTAGATCTACCTGTGCTGATGTTCTTGGTAGGCACAATCGTTCATGTTCAATTAATGGATTTTCACTAGATAGAAAGAGCAATGGAATAAATTCGGAAGTACACAACTGAATCTGTAGTTTATGTTGTGTTGAAAATAAAGGTAAAGCACATATTGTTAGGACGGAAAGATAAAATGTGTAATAATAAAGCGTACGTAGTCCAGCAGATTACACTGGAAAATACCATATACTTGTGGAGCAATGGAATAAATTCGGAAGTACACAACTGAATCTGTAGTTTATGTTGTGTTGAAAATAAAGGTAAAGCACATATTGTTAGGACGGAAGGATAAAATGTGTAATAATAAAGCGTACGTAGTCCAGCAGATTACACTGGAAAATACCATATACTTGTGGCAAAACCGGTTAAACCACAAGAGGCAGAAAATACTCCAATTCTATTGATCCAAGTGCTTTAACGACTGAAACATGTGCTTCGACTTCCAAGACTCTTGATCTTGGAGACACTTTAGCTGAAACCAGGAATAATTAACACGCTGAATTAAACAAATAACGGATAATGAATCTTCACAAAATGTTGATAAAATTCCAGGTGCTTTATGGAAGACAATTATTATATTCACCTGAAAAGTGAAAACAGTGTTAACCAGTAGTTGTTTGTGTATTCTGAGTCTTCAGAAAAAAGTTTTCTTTCACTATGCTATTTTTGGAAAACTTGATAACGCTGCTTGGGAGGTGGGGGATGGCTTCAGTGTGTGAAAGCGCCTTTCTTCTAGTCTGAGAGAACATGAGCATTCATCAGTCCATGTCCAAAACATGGAGTAATGGCGGAAGGTGTGTGTGTGTAAGGATCAGAGTCAATAAATATATAGACATTGTCAACATGGGGTCATGGTGGAACCTGAGAGAAAGGATCAGCGACAATAAAACTATAGACAGGTAAAAAATATGGAATCTCACACCAAATCACGACTCACAGTTAATAATACAGTGTAACTGAAAGTTGCTAGATATGGCGGACAAGAAGTGTGTTGTCCATGATCAAAATATTTTGCTTGATTAGCTTTTTCAACAACAGCTTAATGACCGTTCTTTTTCGTTCGAATAGTAAATTATTTCTGAATATTTTTACTGTGGTAATTGTCTTTTCTTGATTCGCCTCATTCGTTACGGGTTCAAACATTGACAGCAGTTCAACTTGACCGACGAAATTTCCATTCTTAGGATCATGAAACCTTTCTATTGTTCCACTAAAAGTTAGATTGTGTTTTGTTAAAAGACAAACTATACAAACGAGTCTCGTAAAAACAGATCTTCGGTTATTACTTTGCATTGCAATTAGCTCCATGTCAGTAGTTTCATTGTCTCTAATCCCTACTCTCGGGTTCCACTGTGACTCCATGTTGACAAAGAAGTCCACCGTTTGGTGCGACAATTCCAGAAC